TACTTTTAAAAAAATTAAGATATTTTATTTTTTAAAGACTATAAAAATGATATAATTTTTTATTTTTTTATTTAATTTTTTTAATACATTCTAATACCTAATTTTTTCATAATATATAAAGAAAAAAAGAAAATTAAAATGCCTTTATCACTTAAAATATTAAAATGTTTAATTATTATTATTATTAAATATGAGGTGTAATGTAAACTTTAATTTTCATATAATTATTATTATATATTCAAAACAGCATTATAATATAATTTTTTATTTTCCCATATATAAATTCTATTGATTTGCTTTTATGTTTGTCTAATAATAATATTATTATTATATTACTTTTGAAATTTAACCGTCAAAATATTCTTTGTCTAATTCATATTACTATTTAAAAAAAAAAAAATTTAACAATTAAGATGCTTTCAAGCTGTCTTACGTGAAAACACATTCTAATGGAGTCAATTCTTTCTAAATAAAAAATTTAAGTACGTTAAGGAGAGCTGTCTCGCTGCTACTCGCTTCTTTTTTTCCTAAATAAGAACTCTAATGTAGTCATAAAACTGCAAATTCATTTACTTGTAGCTAGATATTTAGATGTTCAATGACCAAGTCTCAAAACAGAGAACAAAAATTCAACGCACTCATTTCAATATAGAAGTTCCCAAGCAACATGTCTGAGATTTACATCTTTTATCTCCCTCCCCTTTTAAGGGTCTGTATATACAACCGGAGATGGAGTTTTCTGTTGTCGTATACATGAACTCTCAGCGATACTAATCAAGTTAAGTTGAAGTTGGTTAGAAACGATTGCCAGAAGACTTGCATGCATGTAGTCAAGAAATCGGGAATGTCGGAAACCAAAAAGTTGGTCATGTCCACAAGGAAAAAATACCAGCAGGATTTGAAAAATTGCTGGTATAGTTCTGTTCTGCCCAGTTAAAATGTGTATAGGTGGTACCTGAAGGGCCTGTAACTCTTACTATGAGTTGGAGATTGGTTTCTCTTTGAAGAACTTGGCAACAGCCTGATACAGAATTTCTTCTTCAAAGGGCTTCGAAACATATCCATCCATCCCGCATTTCAGGCACTCATCATATGTGGCATGGATAACATCAGCTGTCATGGCTAATATTGGCACATGCCACTCACCCTTTCTGACAGTTCCTTCACAACCATTCATTCGTTCGTTTGCCTTGCTCTCCATCTTTCTAATTCGGCGGGTTGCCTCAAACCTGAAATAAGAAGAAAAATATAAACTTGTGTTCCTATCTTTATTCTACATATATACAATTCATCTGTTAAGCCCTGAAAATTATCTTTAGAGGATGGCAGAAGAAAAAAAAAATGTCTTCTGAGGTGTCGAGGATAAATAATATTTGCACCATACAGCAATTTAAGAAATAAATTTTGTACCTTATAAAAAGAGCATTTAGAGGTTATGAACTTATGATTGAAAACTATAGCTAATGAACTGTATAATTTTTACACCAACTATGAATGCATGCCAACCTAGCTCAAAGTTGTATAACCGTTAGCCATTACTTTTTCAGAAATACTTAGTTAAGTGTCAACATCAAAAATAAAAATTAAAGCATATACTAATTTCCATTCTTTTATTAAAAAAAAACCACAGTTTTTTGGACGGTCACATAGAGCAGTGTCTTGTCAACATGAGAAGCTCAGAGTGTGGAGTATGATAACAATAACAAGATCCATAATCCAATATAAAAAACTAAACTTGAGAAAAGACAAAGAACCTGCTAAAAAATGTTAGATACCATATCATACATCTTAACTGGGAAAACTGGCACTTAACACATACTCCAGACCAGCATTACCATGTATGGTTTTTAAAGAAAACTTTATTAGTTTTTAGGTATAGGGGGAAGATGACAATAGATGTCACATTCCAATATCATTCTTTCAATTAGTTCACCCATCTTCAAATTTCAAACCGTTGAGAAGGTGAAGCTTACATGTAATGTAATGATATAAGCCCATCATGCTGTGAGATTTTGTAGAGCTTAGACCAGCACTTGGCCTGTTAACAAACTTGAAGTACATCCCAAAACTTCATTTAAAGAGGTTCAATGTTTTATAGAGTCTCACTCACATGCTTGCTGAATGGAATGGATGGAAGAATTGAAACAACCAATGTGAGAAACAATCTTCAAGAAAAGACTAAGCACTATTCTTTTAAAATATAGCTTAGTCAACAGTTGAAGAAAGGGCTAGGCCTATTCATGAAAGCATGTCATGTTCTGTCTGTGGGTTGCAAACACACATATCTATGTCTGTGCTAGACTGTTGTCTGTCTTTGGAAAATGCAAGTGCAAATCTTTTTCCAACTAACTATCCAACTGATATTTGGCCAAAAAAAAATATATATATGTCCAACTGATATCTAAGATATAAATGACAGATTCACCTTGCACGCGGAACCAAACTACCAGTTAATAAAAGCAGGGTCCTGCAAAGGAGTGCTCTTGAGGCACTTATTAAGGTACTATTACTATAAGAAATACATTAATCCATAGGAAATGGCCGAACAAAACGTCAACCTCAGCATATGTGCAAAAAGAGGAGGCCACAATAAAGCAATTCAAAACTTAAGTCTCATAGATACCATTTTAACAATGCCAAAATTTGCATTTGCACGACAGAGAAGAAAAAGTGGTAGTTTTGAAGCTTCCATAAATCATATACCATGCATTCAATAAGAATGGCAGAAACAACAATTAATAGTAAAGGACATCTAAGCAATTCATTAGCGCAAGTATTTTTTGGATTTTGATTGTCAGCAAGTAAGATTCAAACACATACCCGTCCATTTCTGGCATCTGAATATCCATGAAGCAAGCATCGAAATTGTGTGGAAGCTGAAGTAAGTCCAGTGCAGCTTTGCCACTTTCGGCACATTCTACATCAGCACCAAACTTCTTCAGAGCACCTGCAGCAACCCTGCGGTTTACCCTATTGTCATCAACCACCAAAATTTTTTTTCCACAGAGTAGGCTCTGTAGGACTGAAGATCCATTCTGCATGTCTTTCACTGGCTGGGGCTTCTTCCCTATCCCCAACACCTGCTGAAGACAAGCAGCAACCATAGTTGCCCTCAAAGGTTTCATAATCACAGTGTCTGCAAATCCTGCTGACCTTGCCTTATCAAATTCAGCATTGGTATAATTTGTTGCAAGTAGAATCAGCTTAGGCAATTTACAGATATGGCCATTCTGTTCGTGGTCCAAAACTTGGACACTCCACCCAACATCCTCACTGGAAAGCCATGAATCCTTCTCAACAAGAATAATATCTGGCTGGATTTTATTTCTGCAAGATTCAATTATGTAATACCACTCAGCAAATTAAATTGTATAAGGTTAACAGAGTTTAGAAAATGTATCAAAGATACATATATTCTCCTGAAGAACTGTTTCAATCTTCATGGAGAGATATAAGTTGGTACTCTTAAGTATTTGGTTCATATTCTCTACACGTTCCTTATATTTTGAAAAAATTTTAGTAAACCCTGAACCCAGAGAAGCATGGTGTATAGGGTTATAAACTCAATATGAAAAGTCAAATCAGAGTTTAAACTTGATCCTTTAACAGCATTCATCAAATAAAGTAATTTGGGTACAGAATATAGAAATTCAGAAACAAATATGAAATCAAGATCTTGAAATGCTAATTGTTTCTTTAACAGCATCATTAAAATAATAAGTCAATTTTGAGTAGAAAAAAACAATCATAGTACAATGGGAAGGCTTAAACTGATGAAAACATTTGTGTAGACAACAAGTATAACCATTCACAAATCAAATGATCATCTAAGTTAGATGCAAACATCAACCATGGAAAAAACTTTTGAAGGTAGTTGGCGTAAATTTGGGTGATTTATCAATTCTCCAACATATAATAATAATTTCAACTGAATTAAAACCATGAAACTTACCCGCATGTTAAAGAACCATTTTTCATGCACATAGATACCATGTTGATCCTACTCACAACCTCTACCACTATACCAAGCCTCCTCAAATGGTATCTGGTTACGGCAGCTCTAACGGGTTTTCTATCAACTACTATTGCTTTCAATCCTCTAAAACCAGAAGGAAGATCTTCAGTACTAGATTTTTTTACATCAACATTCTTACACCCTCCAAAAGATGCTGTGAATGAAAATGTGCTCCCAATCTGTGGCCGGCTGATGAAGTTTATCTGACCACCCATTAGCTCAACCAGACACTTGCTGATGCTCAAGCCAATACCAGTTCCACCATAATTTCTAGAGGTTGAGCTATCTGCCTGCATAAATGGCATGAAAACTCGATCCTGGGCTTTAATAGGGATCCCAATTCCAGTATCCTCCACACATATCATCAATGTAACATTATCAGAAGCTTCATGACTAGGCATCAAGTTTATTGAAGAATCATATCGCAATTCCTCATCAGCAATCAAATGCTTGAAGGAATCCCAACTGTTTCGCTCATCAGCTGCTTCATGACCACTCAAGCTCTTAAATTGGCGCAGACCTGCTTTTAGTACCCCTTCATCTGATCCTCCATTCAAAAAACAAGTTTCAGCTTTTGCATCTACCATGGCCTTTGTGTTTTCAGCAAGATGGACTTTAACAAAGATATGTCCTCGTTCAGTGAACTGTCAAAAACTTAATATAGTGAACATCAACAAAATATTATGGGACTTCAGAAACAACCATCAATAAAATGGTACAAAATGAGCTCAATTGGTCCAAAGTTGATGTTGAAACGATCAAAACCCTCCACATAATAGGAAGATCAATGATTCAAGAAAAGTAACTAAGTGAACTAATATTCGTTCTAACCTAAATGAGTAAAGAGAATTACAAAGGTAAACAGTCAACTTACTTTAACAGAGTTTCCAACAAGATTTGTAATGATCTGTCTGAATCTCCCTGGATCTCCCATAACAATCTCTGGAACTTTATCGGACACAAATACTGCCAGCTTCATTCCCAAAATCATTATGTTACCAGATTGTGAGCATTAGAATGCATTAGCAGTACCACAGTGTATCAATGTCAAAGCCCATGATGAGGGGAAAATAGCAATAAATTAGCTCCAACATGATAAACCATTAGGCAGATAAAACAACACTGATTAATGAAGCATGCCAATAGTATGTTAACGAATACACTGACTACATGCTATTAAAGTTTTGAAGAACTTTCACTTACCTCAATACCTTTGCTTCTAGACTTCTCAGAAAATAAAGAGAGGACATCATCTAAGATAGATCGAAGCTCAAAGGGAACCGTTTCCAGCTCTAATTTACCCGCTTCAATTTTTGCTCGGTCAAGCACCTCATTTATCAATTGTATCAGTGCTTTACCACATACTTGAGCAGTTTGAGCATAATCTTGTTGGGTTGAACTTAGATCAGTATCTAGAAGCAGTGCAAGCATCCCTGCAACCATTCAGAAAATAACAATTGTCATAGCTGGAGAAGAAATAGTTGTTTTCTTGGGCATTATTTACAGAGTAAAACTCAAGGAGAGAGCTTCCACCTACCAAGGATGCCATTCATGGGTGTCCGAATCTCATGAGAAACTGTGGCGAGAAACTGCATTTAATAACGTATGTTACAAGTCATAATCTCTTGAAGCGTGGAATAGGCAGTGAACCATGTTCAGATACAATTTTGGGGAACATACCTGTGATTTGGCAACATCAGCAGCTTCTGCTCGAACTTTCAGTTCCTGCATTTCATGGAAATCATCTTCAACTTTGACAATGTGGATTGCTGCACCATATAAGATATAGCCTACTAACAAGCCAATCACAAAGAATAAGAACGCAGTGGTCAGTGCTGTCCAAGATGGGGGTGCCTTTTGATGATATCTGCACAGAATCAGAAAGTAAGACTCAATTGCTGGAATTCCTCCATCCATCTTGTGAAATAAAGAATAAATTGCCATACTCTTACCTACATATCATTTGATGCTTCCTAAATGGATCTCCAAAATCAAGCTTGCTCTTATGTAACAGACTGAGGTCACCTTCTTGATTTTCATTACCATACATGATCAAGGGATCTGAAGAGTTTGTAACATCATACACGTTCACCAGAATTGCCTGGTTTCCAGCAAGTTGCCCAAGCAAATTCTCCACGAGAGATTCAACATCAAAGGCTCCACCAAGATATCTGTGAGTTCAATCAGAATCACATAAATGCATATATGGCTCATCACTTACCAGTTCCTAAACTTTGGCCCCAAGGGAGGGGCTGGGTGGCTGGATGAAGGAAATAAAAGAAGACTGAACAAGAGATAAAATATAATGCAGGCTCATATAGCCCGGAAAGGGGGTGAGGGGAACTCATAAAAGTAACAAAATCCAGCTTTTAGGAATATAAAACCTTACACAAATGAAAATTGATAATGCCAAACACCAGATATACATCATATATCCATTCATAGTGACAGAGGTGCTGATAGCAGCAACACCAATGATACTGTTGTTGACAAAAGTCAGTATTTAGTCTGATGATTTACAGTACAGTGGAGAAACCACGAGAGAATCTTAAAGCAGGGATGTAATAAAGCTATTTGCAAGGTAAAAATGGTCACTTTGAACACAATGACAGTGACCACGATCTGGAACAAGTTGGTACCAGTGACATTTTCTAAATATTGCAGTTGGAAAGAAAGGCACACACAGAAGCATTATTCTCAAATTTCCTAGAATGTAATAAACCATTTGGCTGAAATTATACCATTAAACAACTAAAGTCATCATCACAAACACCATGAAGATAACTATAGGCTTTGATGTTTGAAATGCATGTTTTACACAACTACAGCAACAACATACAGCAAAGTTTTCTAATAATCACCGAATTGTTTTCCGCAGCTCACGAATTTGACCTATAAACTTCAGTTTTAAATTTATTGCATTCAGTGTCTCCATTAGGCAAAGCAACAGTTGCAAGACCAAACAAAAGATTTTAAGAATGAACTTGCCAATACGTTAAAAAGAAAAATTCTAGGCTTACCCTGCAGTTGCATCAATGCGCTCTTCCATTGTTGGTTTTGGGGGTAGCCTGGATTTGTAGACAGGGAATGTCAACACAACACCAAGATGATGAGAACCAAGCAGCCTGAAGGGGCTTGTTAAGACAGCTTTTCCAGTAGCCCTAGCTCTCAATATGTTTTCTCGGTCCTCCTGCATCATACACAAGCAGATATTGCCAACCTAGTTAAACATTAAACTTATGTAACAGTAACACAGAATGTAAAGTTGAAAAGAAAAGCAAATTAAGAATTTAGAAAATTGGATTCCTTGATTTACCTCCCCTGACATCATATCAAGTGATACAAGGTAGGAAACAGTTTCTTGAGAAAATATTACAGGTGCATATTCATCTCGAACAGGTGAAGGTTTTCTTTCCATAGTCTTTATTGTCCACTCATGTTGCCTCTCGAACTTCTCCCTCTCTGAATTAACCACTCTTTGTGCATAGGCAACCCCACTAAGCAATGGCCTCTCAAAAGCAGTTCTTGCAGTGTACTCTGCAAAAGTCTCCTGCATTTCTTGCAACAACCCACAAAATGAAGTGCAAAATCAGAGATGCGCCAATGAAATAATCAATGGGCCATGTTCCACTTTCTTAAAAGTAGGTAAAACAGTAGAACAAGAAAGAATCTTTCACCATCTTTGTTTCCCATAAATTAAGAGAGTGCAAATTCATCTTGAACAATAATCAAGACTCTTTAATGGTTATTAAGCTAACAATTCAAACTTTTTGTTTCATTCAGAATAAAACAGTGATTAAAGGAAATTACAAATGGTTTTTAGCTTTCAATGCTCTTTTGTATAAATGAAGAAAATCTGATTTTTTTTCTAGAAAACGAGGAACCGAATAAATGATTTGAAATGTCATTTCACTAACTAAGCTTAAACTACACCCACCCACCCCCACCAGGAACAACAAGAATACCAGAGCTACAAGATAAGAAGCAGCACAAAACCTGATCAATTGCAGATGGGGTCTTGTAGTAGTGAAAAGTGGAGACGAGAATTGCAAGAGCATGCACATGGTTAACACTAACACTGAATTGATCCTGCAACATTCTTGCCCTCTGATCACACATGCTACCCAGTACTTCCTTCCTCCTTACTTTGTTGTCAGCATCCATTCCGTTGTATATAGACATGCTCAAAAAAGCCATCACCACAACCCACAGCACCAGAAATTTTGGCAACCAAGCCCTGTTGGCCTGAATGAATGTGTACCCTCTCTTGGTCCCCATTTGCTCATTCCCCTTCACAGCCACTGAATGGTGGTGGCTCTGCTGCATCTTGTGGCCCATTAACAAAAGCACAAGAGAATCCGCACTTTTCCTCCTTTTTCCTCTTCTTTCCCAATCTCTACTTGTTCTTCTTCTTCTTCCTCCAATTCCCACTTCATATCTGAGCTAGAAAAGCACCAAGAAGACATGCAAACACATACATGTAAGGCAACTTTCTTTTATAGAACTGGCAATTTTACCAGACACCCTTTTTCTGACATAAAAAGAAAAAGTCACTCCTAAATCCTAATCTAGAACTTGAAGTATAGCATTGTTTTATGTGATTTAAGAAACGAAAAAAGGTGAAAACAAAAGGAAATTAAAAATTAAGAAAGAAAAAAAAATCAAGAAATGATCTAGCAAAGTGAACCACCATCTGTTTCCCTCTCTGGTACTTGAGCATAAAAGAATCAGTTTTCACGATTAAAAGACAGAAGAAGAGAGACCCAGAATTCAAAAAGAGAAGCTCTCAATTCTGAGAGACAAGCATGGCTCTCAAAAGAAGGAAAATAGCCCAAATTCCAAAGTTACCTCCTATCCCTCAAAAATGGGTTTTCTAATACATAGAGAAACACTAATCATGTTCTTTCCTCCAAGCGTGATGCATTTAGTTAGGGCAACAAGACAAAGAAGAGCACGTTCCCTGTTTTCCCCCTATATTAAAATCAAACAAACCCCATACAAAATTGACCCTGAAACACACAGAGCAAAGCACTACAAAGCAAGAAAAGGAAAGAAAAACTAGAGGGACGAAGGCAAATAGCTTTAGACAAAATGGCTTTGCGTTTTTATTTAAAAGGAAGAATTTAATACCTGTACACATGTAGAGATTATGCATTTAGACTCTGAATAATGGTGAAATGAGTTTCCTTCTTCCTGCTGCTCCTCTGTGTCTGATCTGTGGCTTTATTTCAAGTATTTTATCCCTTCAAGTCCTATGCTTTGGTATTGTTTTCAATGGTTTTCAGCAATAGTTTATGCACTTTTTCAATGTTTGCTTGCTTTATAAAGCAAAACTGAATCGAATTTTTAGGATTTTTGCAGATACGCTGTTGTCTCCCTCGAGACAAAACCCACATAATAAACTATTGCTAGCATTTTCTCTCTCCACACAAAATCACCGTGTAGTTTCTCTCCCCCACATAAACTATGCCTTTTAGTTTTTTTCTAATTCCCCTTTCCATTGGAGAAAAAAAAAAATTTCCCCCTTCAACTTTCTCCCTTTCACCTTTCTTACTCCCCATTCTATTCCTCATTTCTGATGGTTTATTTTAAGTGGTAGAATGGAAGCAATCCTTTTAAGTTACTGTACTTCCCTCATCCATATTTTAATGAGTCAAATTCAAAATTCGCTAAAAAAATTTACTACCATATTATTTCTCTTTTTGTTTTTTTTTTTTTATTTTAACAAAGTTACAATTTTTGGGGAGAGGAAATCGAATCTCAGCCCTTAAGCTGAATGATGCATCTTACAAGTCAATTTATGACTGTTGGACCATGAGACTCAGGTGCATTTCTCTTTTTTGTTTAGTGCAAAATTGCAGTACATTCTTACCATACTTTAGTCTCTCTCTTTTTTTGTGTTTGGATGTCATACTTTACCCTTCTGATTTCTGATTTCTACCTTTTGTGCATAAAATTTCAGAAAAATTAAACTAAGCCTTTTCGTTTTGTAGGGTAGGTGAGGAGAACCCTTCTTAATCTCTTAATTCTCTTGATATCTCCCCTCCCTGGTATGTCCCAAAACCCAAATAGTTAAGAGCAATCGTAAAAAAACTTTAATGATTCTACGATTAGTAATTATACTAAATTGTAAAATGAATCAGTCATAATATCTCATTATGAAGAAATATGTTTCAACTCATTGAATTGTAACTAAGTCTAATATTGTGGGTGGAGTATCCATTGTATTTTATTTAATTTAATCCTTTTCATGTGTTGATAAAGAAAAAATGGTGATTGAGTAGTCAATCCAATCATTCTAACAATACATATTTGAATCCTATCAATTTATTTGAATACAAATAATTTTAATAAATCATGCTTATTACCTTTAAAAGTAGAGTTTTATCTAATATTTATAAATGCAACACGTGATTTAGATACTTACATTATCCAAAAAAGAAATTATGTTTTTAATCTCATATTGCAAGTACTCATACTCAAGCTCTTGCAATGCCAAACTCATTGGTAGCCTTAAGATTAATCAATTTGGAAGTACTAATACTTAAGTCCAAACCTACTTAAATACTTGTAAACTAAAGTTAAACTCAACTATTTTGAATTCAATAAATATTCAAATTCAATTCAAAATTGAATATTTAACCTACGTTTAAGCACAAGTACTCAAATACTTGACTTGTTAAAATTTCTACATTTAATGGATGTAATTGTTGGTGAATATTGTGAGATGATATTATAATGGATCGATACATATGTAATTTGTAATCTTTAAAACTACTTATAAAGAATAAAAACTTCCCTACCAGCCAAGGGTTGGTTTTGATGTTTAGAATATACCATAGATCTATTTTTCAAAATAAAAAGTTAATGAATGGTGACGGATTAAGATTGAATATTTAGCTAAACAAAAAATATCCAAAGAATAAGAATTTAGTCAGATTTAAAGTAGTAAAAAGAATTAAAAAATTTTACAAAAATTATATGGCGTTATTTTTTTGGTATTGTTAAATTCAAGATCAAATTAGAGCATATTTAACAAAAAAAAAAAAATTCTATTACACAAGACAAGTTTAAAGTAGAGCTTAAAAGTTAAGCTAATTTAATCAAATTAGTCAAACATAGGCTTTTTAAAAAGTTTGAATATATATTATTTTATAAATCTCCTTTTATCTCTTTATTGCCACAATTCACTTACGATTTGTAATATGGTCAAGGTAATGAATTTGAGAATTTAATCATGTACAAGAAAAGAAGAGATAACATAATTAAAAAAGATACATTTTATATGGGGTATGGGGTTTGAATGGAAAGGAGCATAAATGAATTTGCTTCCTTACTTTGTTCATGTAAATTCGATTTGAATAATGTGAAAAAAGATATGGTTTTTTATGATTTGTGGCAAGAAATACGAATTTGGAGTGACAAGAAAGGGAAGGGCAAGTTGTTCTTTCAACATGTGATGTGATTGTGTTTTCTGATTCTTTTGAATTATGAATTATATGGGTTTCTTTCTTTTTCTCTCTCTAGGTGTCTGATGTCTAAGGGAAGAAATCTAGTAAGAGAGAAAAAATTAAAAAAATCCAAAATGAAAAATACAAAAATCACCATCGCATATCTTTGCGATAATGACGTCGCGACAAGGTCGCGGATCTTATTCCCTGTGAATTTACTTAAAACCCCAAGTTTTCTCTATTGAATTCTCAATTTGCCCCCTGTAATGTAAGTAGTTTGGTAAAGGTTAAACTTTAGTTTTGGTCCCTCAGCTTTAATACAGATCTTGATTTGTTCTCTAAACTAAATAAATTCCTACATTGATCCTTAAAGTTTTATATTTCGACTATTTTTTTCTTCTTTTCTTAAATTTTAGCTTACATGCACATGTTAATTACACCAAAACCTGTTTTATTTCTTCAAACTAATGATGTGAAAATCCTACCCTATAAATATTAATGTTATAAATAAAATTTATTATCCATATTAACCTTAAAAGCTTATTTAATTACAAAATTGTCATTAAGTTAAACCTTAATTTTGGTCTCTAAACTTTTGTAAAGACCTCTAATTTGGTTCTTAAGCTAAAAAAATCTTTGTTTTGACTTTTGGGACCAAAAAAGAATCAAAATCTAAAATTTTAGGGACTAAAATAAGAATTTATTTAGTTTAATAACTAAATTAGAAGTCTATACCAAAGTTGGAAGACCAAAATTAAGGTTTAATCTTTTGTAAATATGATGAAAATAGCACACCCTTTTGATCCTCAGCCTTTGTATCCACTTTGGTCCCCAATATTGATTGGCTTGGCTTGGCTTGGAACGTGTTGGTTCGGTCGGTCAAAATCCCCGATCATAAACCAGGGAGAATTTTATTCAACCTAAGATGGTCCACATGAAGAGAGGTCTTCGATTCAACCCTTGTGTTAGACGGTAGTATGATCAATCATTAACAATTTCTTTTGGTAGGAGGGTTTCTGAATTAGTTTTTGAATATTGTAAAACTTATTTCTCCCTTCTCTATTTAATTTTAAGATCGAATCTCTTATATTGACCTAATATATTTTTTGTTAACCTCAAGATACGAATTTTAAATTTAATTTATAAAATGACAATTATTTATCAAACGATTTAACTTTTAACATTCAATCATTAATAATTTTACACATCATTAAGGTGGTAGTTAGTTGCGAGAAAAGTTTTCTTCAAATTTCCCCTTACTTGAATTCTTTAGAGTTATTTATGTATTTTTACATTTTAATATTATAATAAAGAAGGATAAAAATGATATTATTAGTCTTTACTTTTTTTAATAAAAATCATAATTAATAAACTTTTCTTTTTAGACTGTTCAAAAAAAAAAAAGTTTCCCTCAATATTTTTTTACGTAGGATTTATTTAATAATTTTTTCATCAACTTTCTCTATGTTAATTTTTTATCAAATATAAAAAAATTAATAACTCAATAAAAATCTAATAAATTTTCATTACAACACTTTCAAAGTTTCCAATTCAGAACTTTCTTAACTAATTTCCTACTAAAATCAATTTCTAACCAATCAAACCCTAAAGGTGTGGACGAAGCCAACATAGGACTAAGGCCATAGCTGCCCCCCTAAACTTTTGTAAAATATCAAATATGGTACATGTATTTTTGTTCTTATATATATTTTTTGAAGTTTAAATTATAGGGATCATTCAAATATAAACAAAACATATATGATTTAGGTAAATGGATCATTTCTCTCTTCGTGACTAAATCTCGTAAAGATAAAATAATTTTGTTTAGGTAACAACAAATATAAAAAATAGTTAAGATTTAATTATATTGATATAACCTATATAAGTTTTTACATTAATAATATACATAATTTTTTATACAATTTATATTCTATTAAACCAAATGCTAAATCTATTTTATTCATGTAAATTATAAGTTCCAAATTTAAAATTTGATTTGACATCTATAACCTTACAAAAGAAATAAATTTTATTTTTGTACTATTTATTTAAAGGTCTTAATTATATAATATTTAAAGATAGTTAAATATATCTAATTAATTTAAAATTTGGCATGAATGATATAAGTGATATGTACATAAAATTAGTAATCAATTTAAAAATTAATATAAATTATATCATGTACGTAAAGTAAAAAATGACCATAAAAAAATTTTAAAAATTTTCCCTCCTTATCTTTAATTTTTGGCTCCAACCCCTTCTAAATATCAGGTTGTATATCCGTTCATGTGGGTATGGATGAGTGAGAAATTGTCTACTTTTACTTACTAGTCAATATATATTTAATTGACTTATTATATTATATAAAATATAAAACAATTAACTCTGTATCTCATGAGTTATAACACAATTTAGAGTCACGTAAACTCCTAGGTTACAACTTGTCCTTTATAAATTTATTTTTCTTAAAAAGAAAATAAAAGTCTCCACATATGTTTGAAAGTGTAATTTAAAACCTCTAATTTCTTGTTCTATGAATAATAGAGAAAATTAACTTTAGAAGTTTTTAACTTAAATATCTTAGGCTTTCTTCCTATGCGAAATTCACATGCATCAAGATGAAGTAAGGTATTTTATTGAATCACTTACCTTGCTTGCCGTTATAAGAACAATGATAATTCATAATTGGACAGTGATAAGTGTACCCTATATTTCAATACCCAATTCAACACTTTTTGATTTAGTCATTAAAAAATTATTATTTTTAAATTTAAAATTAAAATAAATAAGTATAATGATACAATCATATACACATGATATAAGAACCGATTAAATTGATTATATTTATATTATATTTTAATAATTAAACTAGAAAGTGTTGGATCAGGGGTTGAACTGAAGGATATACCAAACATTTCCTTTCATAATTACTATCAAAGTCTTTTGTCTTTTTGGATGAAAAGGATAGGAAAGATGTACTTAAATTGCATACAGCACATGGAAACCTAGCTAGAACGGTTTCCATGGCGTGAAATAAGAGAGATTTTAATAAAATAATAATCTAGAATGTAATAATAATAATTGTTAAAAAAAATTTAAAGAATTCAATTTACTAATTAGCAAGTGTAGATTAGGTTTAAGCTTCAAATCGCACTAGCCAATTGAAATGTGAGTTCAAAAATCAAAGTAGTTTTGAACTCTACAAAAACTTGTTCAAAAACACATTAACCATTTGCTTATCCAAAAAAAAAAAAAAAATCATAACCATTCAAACAAAAAAAGCCCTAAAAAAAAAAAAAAACGTCTCACAAGAAAACGACACCTTAACCTTGTCCTTATTGAAATAAAACCAAGAAAGGGATAATTATAATCTAAACAAATCTAAGACTAGGTTGCCTTCCTCAAGACATTCAAACCAATGAAACTAACCATCTTGGGTGAGCTACCTTGGTGAGAGGTTCCCCATTCTGTCACCAATTAGCAATTACCCCCTTTATAGGACCACCTTAGACCTTAATTAGTCCTCATTATCTTCTCAGCATCCTCCCCCTATTCATATGCTAGCACCCTTTCGCGACCTCCTTTGCCCTCACTAGTATGGAGTTCGCTCTTTTCTTGTGTTCGACTTGCCTGATTGCTCCTTGAACCTCTCGCCTTGCCAGGACCTTGGCACACAAATGCACAAAAAGAAGCGATCCAGCTACTTAATACCCAATCTAATATGCTACAACAAATGCGCCCACTTGGGTAAAAAGTAGCTTGGGCACTAAGAAATCCAAAAAACGAAAAACTAAACTAGCAAAAACTTGAAAACATCTTCTCAATCTTAGTTGCTTCTCTATCTTTGTTGGAATACATTGTTTTTTTTGTTGCACAATGAAAGGCAATCATCCCCCATCCCTTCCCTTGTCCCCACCCACATGTCATGTGACTTGAATTTAAAACCTCTTGCTTTCAGCAAAAAAAAAAATGGTCACTAAACTATTTAGGTCATTGGTTGAAATACATTAGTTATACTATCATAACAGATTTGACACTATAGAAGTTTCAGATGATGGTTAACCACACCTTTTCTACTCTATATATTCACCCCAAAAAGAGGATCTAATACTAGTAGAATCCAAACAAGTCTCACCTGAAAGATAAAACAAATGTTGATAAAACCCACACGTATCAACCCACGTGGATCCCACTTGACCACATAACCTTACTTAGGCCCCGTTTGGTATAGCGGTTTTGGGATAACGGTTAATGGTTTTACTTAATACGCTAAATATAGGTGTTTGGTAAATTTATATATTTCGAAACTGCTACAAATAAAGTGTTTGGTAAAATTTTTGTTTAGCAGTTTGAGACTAGCGGATAGTGGTTAGGGTTCAAAT